TAACTCATCCCTCCTTGAAGCTCACACCATTTCATTCACAATCAAAGTAGCTTGGTTAGATTTCGGTGCTTGAAATCCTCTCTTCCTTCGGTTGTTTTATTCTCTTCGATTTTAAGGTAAGAAACTCCAATTTCTTGCTGCAATTAAATGGCATCAATAGTATTAAAATGGTTTTCAAAATTTTCTAAAAGATTGGGAGTGATTTCGAAAAATTAGGGCTTTTTGGGGAAAAATGGAAAAGAGGTGTTTATTGTTGATTTCTTGTTCTTGCATGCATCATCTATGTTGGTAGTGGGTAGATATAAGTTTTATTGGCCAAAAGTATTGAAAATTTCGTATTTCAAAAAGGGGTTTCAAGAAAAATGAATTTTTGAACTTTTATGGGGTTGCATGTGTAGATCTTAAGGAGTTTCGGGTCAAATCTGTAATTTTTGAGAAGTCCATCCTAAATGTGTTTTCAAAACTATTTTCCAGCATTTATTGAACACAAATTTCGGATTTAAAGAAGTTTTGCAAGATAAAGTGATTTTTGAACTTCTAGTGGTCTTGCATGTATGGATCTAGAGATTTTGGAGTAAAATATGAAATTTTCGAAATTTCTGCATAAAGTAACTTTTTAACTTGGTTTTCTTCATTTATTAAAGTAAAATTTCAGATTGTTGGGAGTTTTTCATGAAAAACTAGATTTTGAACTTGTAGTGTGGTTGCATGTGTAAATCTTGAAACTTTGGAGTCAAAACTGCAATTTTCGAAAAATCTCTCATTTCTTAAGCTTGAATCTGTTTTCCAGCAAGTATTAAATAGGAAAAAGTTTTATTTACAAAGTTTTCAAAATAATTAGAGTTATATTAGAGTTTTGGATTTTAAAATTAAAAAGGGGTTTTTCTAGTTTTTTATTTCAAGAAAATTCGAGACTTTGTGAAAATTTTAAATAATTTCAGAATCTTGAATTTGGATCAGTTAGGAGTTCTAGGATTTAATTTGGGAATTTTTGAAATTAATTTGCTATTATTTCAAAATTAGGACATTTTGCATGTCATCTATTATGTTTGTGCCTTTACTTTCATGTCTTTGATTAAATACCTACGAATGATGAGATTTGAGATTTTATACCTTAAATGGCTGCATGGATGTGTTTATTACAATTACAATTATGTGGTGAATTGTGATATTTGTGTGATTTTGTGGCACTTGATTGACATTTGTGATGTTATGTGTGGGTCATAAGCATGATTTCGAAAATTTGCATTTTATGGTTTTTAAATTGAATGATTAATTGAATATCGGGTAATGAACAACTCAGATATTGAGGGCCGGTATCCATCTAGGATGATGTGTTGTGGTTTGATTCCACTTAGTGAAAACAGGCTCGTAACTGGTTTATTACTCAGGTACAGAAATTAATCTTTCACGGATCCGATAAAACGAAAAAAATGTGTTTTTCATGATTTTCCTAAAAAAGTGCATTTTAGTCCTTTTTGCATAAGTACGTGATTTTGTGTGAATGCTGTGTTTTCGTGAGTTATGTGATTTTATCGATTGTCCTGTGTTGTTGTAAGGAACGTGGGTAAGAATGGGTATATAATATTATATATTATGTATAACGTATTTTCAAAGTTCGATATTTCATCGGATTTCTTACTGAGCTTTATAGCTCATATAGAAGCCTTTTAGTTGCAGATAGTAGTGCTAGTAATCATCAACCGGGATGGATCGAGTAGCGGATCGAGGTCTTGCCCGGGATTTTGGAAGTCGTACGAGGACCTATGAACGATGCTAAAGTCTTTTTGTTATTTTCTTTTTGTGATGTAATATTAAACCTAATTATTTCCTTTTCGTACATTTTAAACTCGTTACCGATATGAATCGAACTTAACCCCTATTATAATATAGTAAGTTTCGTAATTTTGCTATTTTCATGCCTCCACTAGCAATTTCCGAACTATTCACCAAAATAACCTTTCCAAACTGTGATTTCTTCTCGAACTGAAAACGACAGTGATAGTGTAGCCCTCAAACAAAAAACCTCCCCTCGAAACTTATTTCCAAACGAAACCTTTATTCGGCTAAAGTAACCTAAGAAAGTTTTCGAAAAATGCAAAGTTTTAATAATTGCATTTTGGTCCCATTGCAAAGAATACGGAGTCTCCGACTTCGAATTCGAGATCTCTCCTTCGAGTGTTGGCATAGCTTTGCTGCCGATCTTGGGCGATTCACATTTTCTCTCAGATATTTTTTATTATTTCGATGGTTTGTTGAACGAGGTCGGGACCAAGAAATTTTGTTTCGCCAATTTCGTCCAAATGAAGCGGGGACCTACACTTGCGGCCTTAAAGAGCTTCGTAAGGTGCCATTCCAATTGATGAGTGAAAGCTATTGTTGTATGCGAATTCGATTAGTGGGAGGCGGGATTCCCAATTTCCTCCAAAATCGAGAATACAAGCGCGGAGAAGATCTTCTAGGGTTTTGATAGTTCGTTCGGATTGGCCATCGGTTTGGGGGTGATAGGCGGTGCTGAAGTTTAATCACATTCCGAGGGTTTCGTGTAAACTTTTCCAGAATTTTGACGTAAATCGAGGGTCTCGGTCGGAAATAATGGACACGGGGACGCCGTGGAGTCGGACTATTTCTCGGACGTATAGTTCGGCTAGCTTCTCTAAATTGAAGGTCATTCGGATTGGAAGAAAGTGAGCCGTTTTGGTCTGTCGGTCAACGATCACCCAAATGGCGTCGGATCGCCTTTGGGTCTTCGAAAATCCTTACACGAAGTCCATTGTGATAGCTTCCCATTTCCATTCGGGAATCAGGTTTGATTGAAGTAGACCTCCGGGCATTTGATGTTCCGCTTTGACTTGTTGGCACACTAGGCCTTCGGCGACGAATCGCGCCACGTCTTTCTTCATTCTAGGCCACCAGTAGAGCCTTTTGAGATCTTTGTACATCTTGGTTTCTCCGGGATGCCAAGTGTACGTGGTTTGGTGAGCTTCGGTTAGGATTAGTCGGCGGGCATTTGGATCATCGGGGACGTAAATGCGATTTTGGGGTCGGACAAGACCTTCTTTGGTGATTCCGAAGTTTGAACTGGATTCAAGGTTATCGCGGATTTTGAGAATTTGCGGATCGTTTTGTTGGGCTGATTTGATTGATTCTCCGAAGTTAGGTTGGACTATGAGGGCGTTGATCGATTTGCGGCTAAGTGCATCGGCGACCACATTTGCTTTGCCGGGGTGGTAGAGTATCTCGCAGTCGTAATCCTTGACTAGTTCGAGCCATCTTCGTTGGCTCATATTCAAGTCCGTCTGAGTGAACAAATATTTCAGACTCTTGTGATCGGTGTAGATGGTACACTTTTCACCATAGAGATAGTGTCGCCAGATCTTGAGAGAGAAAAAGATGGCGGCTAATTCGAGATTGTGCATTGGATAATTGCGTTCGTACTCTTTGAGTTGACGGGAGGCATAGGCAATGACTTTCCCATGTTGCATGAGTACGGCGCCCAGACCTAATTTCGAGGCATCACTATAGACTATGAATTCTCTGACTTTCTCTGGTAGTGCGAGAATTGGTGCCGATGTGAGTCGAGTCTTGAATTCGGTGAAACTAGCGTCACATTCGGGCGTCCACTGGTACTTGATGTCTTTTCGAGTTAATCGGGTGAGTGGAGAGGCAAGCTTCGAGAAATCCTTCACGCATTTGCTGTAGTAGCCTGCTAGTCCAAGGAAACATCGGATTTCCTTTGCATTCTTCGGAATTGACCAATTCAACACTGCTTCTATCTTGTTAGGATAGACGGAGATTCCTTTTTCTGAAACAATGTGACCAAGAAAAGCCACACTCGAAAGCCATAAGTCGCATTTGCTGAACTTCGCGTATAGTTGGTGCAATCGGAGAGTTTGGAGTGCGGTGCAAAGGTGAGACATATGCTCTTCTTGGGTTTTGGAGTATATGAGAATAATGTCGCCGATGAAGACAATTACAAATTGGTCCAAGTATTGGTGAAAGACTCTGTTCATAAGGTCCGTGAAAGCTGCGGGTGCGTTTGTTAGACCGAAGGGCATGACCACGAATTCATAATGGCCATATCGGGTTCTGAAAGTTGTTTTGGGGATATCGGATTCTTTGATTTTGAGTTGGTGATAATCGGACCGGAGATCGATTTTAGAGAAGACCGATGAGCCTTGGAGTTGGTTGAAAAGATCATCGATTCGAGGAAGAGGGTATTTATTCTTGATTGTGATTTTGTTGAGTTCACGGTAATCGATGCTAAGGCGAAGGGTCACGTCTTTCTTTTTAACAAAGAGAACCGGTGCGCCCCACGGGGAATGGCTGGGTCGAACATAACCTTTGTCGAGCAAATCTTGAACTTGGTCTTTCAGCTCCTTCAATTCCATCGGGGCCATACGGTACGAGGCATTGGAAATTGGCGCAGCTCCGGGAATGAGATTGATTTCGAACTTGATTTCTCGATCGGGTGGGAGTCCAGGAATGTCATCGGGAAATAAGTCGGGGAATTCTTGTACAGCTCGAATGTCCGATATTTGGATTTTGGGTTGACTTCGGAATTTGAGGGTTGTCGCCATTCGGAAGGGGAAAGATAACCGATTTTGAGGCACAATCGATTTGGGCTTTGAATTTGGTTAACCAATCCATGCCTAATATAATTTTAAAGTTTTGGATCGGTATGAGGATTAAATTGAAATTCATGGGATGAGTGTGAACTCGGATTGGGCAATTGATTATGGCTAGATTAGAGCACATCTCTTCGCCAGAGGGAATGAGAATTCGGTATTCATAATTTAGTCGATTCGGTTCGAGATTTAAGTGCGCAATTATGTCTTTCGATATAAAGGAATTAGTAGAGCCGGAATCGATTAGAGCATATATGGGTTCTTCGAGGATAAATATGATACCTGCTATCATAGATGGGTCTTGCTCGATTTGTTCTTGAGTCATGGCGAACACTCGACCGGGGACGTTCGGTGGAGGTTTCGGACAGTCCTTTACCATGTGTCTGGGTTGATGGCATCGGAAGCAACTTCTCGTTCCTTGTATGCATCCTCCGGAGTGACTCTTTCCACATTTTGGGCAGGTTGGCCTTGGTGGCGGTTGCGGTGGTCCGGTTGGTTGGCGGATGGGCTGCGTTCCCTTTCCTCGGAATGGGCGGTTGCCAAAGTTGTTCTTTTAATTTTCCACGGGCGTTGGAAATTTGGTGTTGCTCGGCGTTTGTTTTGAATTTCTCCCTCGTCTTGGGCAGCCATGAGTGCTTTGTCTACGAGTTGGCGGAAAGTCAAGGCGTCGGACATACGGATGTATCTACGGATTTCGGGTTGGAGGCCACGAATGAAATGGTTCTTCTTTTCTTCGGCGTCTCGAGCGGTGAATGGGGCGTAGAGGCAGCCACGTTCGAAACGACAGATGTACTCGATCATTGGTAAGTCGCCTTGGCGGAGTTCGAGAAATTCTTTGAGTTTGTGGGCTCGCACGTCTTTTGAGAAATATTTTTCGAAGAATTGGACCTTGAAATCGGTCCATGGTAGAGTCTCGAGGTTCGTTCCTTCTTTGATTCCTTCCCACCAGTGACGAGCTTCGTTTCGGAGTAGGAATATGGCACAATGCACGCGGTCGCGGTCGGTCATTTGCATATAGTCGTATATGACTTCGAGAGATTTGATCCATTCTTCGGCTATAGCAGGGTCGGTTCCACTGTAGAATTCGGATGGGTTCATTCGGAGGAATCGTTCGTACGTAGCTTCAGGCGCGTTATTTTGGGGCGGGGTTTGGTTACGTTAGAGGAGTTGTTCAATTTGGCGTTGTTGGTTTTGGGCTTGTTCACGGATTAAGTTTGAGAGATTATTGATAGTTTGATTGTGGTCTTGTGGTGCATCGGAAGGAGTGCTCGGGTTTCCTTGGGTTATACGTCTCGCCATTATTTCTATATTAATTCACAACTAATAAATAACGCAAGTAAAACACAAATAAAATAATACACATACTTTACCGGATGGTCCGAGTTTCGCGTCTCGAGTAGTCTCTAAACCCGTGAAGTTCGTACGAGTATCTATGAACCATGCTTTGATACCACTGTTGTAGCACGTCCTTCTAGTCGGGCAATTAATCGAACCGGTTTATCAATATTTCTATATACTTAGCGGAAGCAATAAGGATCTCTTTGAAAATTTTAAAACTTTGAAATGGGACCAAAATGCAATCATTAAAACTTTGCATTTTTCGAAAACTTTCTTAGGTTACTTTAGCCGAATAAAGGTTTCATTTGGAAATAAGTTTCGAGAGGAAGTTTTTCGTTCGAGTGCTACAGTATCACTGTCGGTTTTCAGTTCGAGAAGAAATCAGAGTTTGGAAAGGTTATTTTGGTGAATAGTTCAGAAATTGCTAGTGGAGGCATGAAAATAGCAAAATTACGAAACTTAATATATTATAATAGGGGTTAAGTACGATTCATATCGGTAACGAGTTTAAAAGGTACGAAAAGGAAATAATTAGGTTTGATATTACATCACCAAAAGAAAATAACAAAAACACTTTAGCATCATTCATAGGTCCTCGTACGACTTCCAAAATCACGGGCAAGACCTCGATCCGCTACTCGATCCATCCCGGTTAAGGAATACTATCACTACTACCTGCAATTAAAAGACATCTATATGAGCTATAAAGCTCTATAAAGCTGAGTAAGAAATCCGATGAAATATCGAACTTTGAAAATACGTTATACATAATATATAATATTATATACCCATTCTTACCCACGTTCCTTACAACAACACAAGACAATCGATAAAATCATATAACTCACGAAAACACAACATTCACACAAAATCACGTACTTATGCAAAATGACTAAAATGCCCTTGTTTATGAAAATCATGAAAAACACATTTTTTTCGTTTTATCGGATCCGTGAAAGATTAATTTTTGTTTCTAAGTAATAAACCTGCCAGGAGCCCATTTTCACTAAGTGGAATCAAACCACAACACATCATCCTAGTTGGATACCGGCCCTCTATATCCGAGTTGTTTATTACCCGATATTCCATTAATCTTTCAATTTAAAAACCATAAAATGCAAATTTTCGAAATCATGCTTATGACCCACACATAACATCACAAATGTCAAACAAGTGCCACAAAATCACACAAATATCACAATTCACCACATAATTGTAATTTTGGGCAAAATCCCCAAATTCACACACAATCACACACGGCACACACACCCCCACACATTCAGCACACACACACACACACACACGCACACCTATTCAGCACACACACATGCAACCAACACATTAAAACATCACCATTTAATATTAAACCATGCTCGTAAAGCAAGCACCCATTTTTCACCTTTCATTTAATGAATTGATTACCACTTCTAGGTAATAATCCATTCCAATAAATTTCTGCAGTAATAAACACATCCATGCAGCCATTTAAGGTATAAAATTTCAAATCTCATCATTCATAGGTATTTAATCAAAGACATGAAAGTAAAGGCACAAACATAATAAATGACATGCAAAATGTCCTAATTTCCAAATAATAGCAAACTAATTCCAAAAAATTCCAAATTAAATCCTAGAACTCCTAACTGATCCAAATTCCAGATTCCGAAATTATTTTAAATTTTCACAAAGTCTCAAATTTTCTTGAAATGAAAAACTAGAAAAACCCCTTTTAATTTAAAAATCCAAAACTCTAATATAAGTCTAATTATTTTGAAAACTTTGTAAATAAAACTTTTTCCTATTTAATACATGCTGGAAAACAGATTCAAACTTAAGAAATAAGAGATTTTTCAGAAATTGCAGTTTTCACTCCAAAGTTCCAAGATTTACACATGCAAGCACACTAAAAGTTCAAAATCCACTTTTTCATGAAAAACTCCTACCAATCTGAAATTTTACTTTAATAAATGCAGAAAACCAAGTTAAAAAGTTACTTTATGCAGAAATTTCAAAAAATTCATATTTTACCCCAAAATCACTAGATCTATGCATGCAAGACCACTAGAAGTTCAAAAATCACTTTTTCTTGCAAAACTCCTTTAAATCCGAAATTTTTGTCCAATAAATGCTGGAAAAAAGTTTTGAAAACACATTTAGGACTGACTTCTCAAAAATTACAGATTTGACCCGAAACTTCTTAAGATCCACACATGCAACCCCATAAAAGTTCAAAAATTCATTTTTCTTGAAACCCCTTTTGGAAATCCGAAATTTTCAATGCTTTTGGCCAATAAAACTTGTATCTACCCACTACCAACATAGATGATGCATGCAAGAATAAGAAATCAACAATAAATACCTCTTTTCCATTTTTCCCCAAAAAGCCCTAATTTTTCGAAATCACTCCCAATCTTTTTGAAAATTTTGAAAACCATTTGAATACTATTTTGAAAATTCTTACCTTAAAATTGAAGAGCAGAAAACAACCGAAGGAAGAGAGGATTTCAAGCACCGAAATCTAATCAAGCTACTTTGATTGTGAATGAAATGGTGTGAGCTTCAAGGAGGGATGAGTTATTATCTCCCGTAAGGAGGCAAGTAGTTTTGATGGTGTTTTTGGAGTAATCTATAGCAAGGGTTAATTAGGGGACCTTCATTTTTTTTTTTTGATTTTCTTGAAAATTTGGAGGTTGAGGTGGAAGAAAGAGAATGCCGATGGTGGTGGTGATGGCTTCGGTGGAGAGAAATGGAGAAGACAAGTAAGGTGTTGAGGTGTTGAAAGGAAAAAGATGAAGGGTGTCTTTTGGGTTACTTTGAGATTGGGATTAGAGAAATGATTAGGGGGTGCCAAGTGTAAAGGCATGCATATTTAACACTAATTATTTTATTTATATAAATACAACTTGCACACTACACACACACATTCCGGACACACACATACACACACACATTCAGTCATATACATATATACTCAAATATATATAATGCATGTAATAGTATGTATATATATATATATATATATATATATATATATATATATATATATATATATATATATATATATATATATATATATATATATATATATATATATATATATATATATATATTTATATTTCACATAAGTGACCACATTTCGAAAATAATCCACCAAATAATTAAGACATGAAATTATTCATGAATTCACGAAATTCTTAGAATCTCAATTTCCGGGAATTTAACTGATACTAAATCACATATATCACATCTTACTCACGAAATTCATGAAATCACCATATTGAATAGTGCATGTAATTATTCACGTAAGTCACATAATTATATTCACGTAATGCATATAATTAATATCAATTAATAATATTACCTAGGGATTCTTTGAGTTAGAAATATTAGTTTCGGGTTTTAGGGTTTTCGGGTATTGGAAAGGTGGAGTGTTACACGGATGAGAGAGTTATGCTCGACTTCGTGGACACTACCGAATATGTTGAGCAATCCTCTCTTCTAATTTTATTTTATTTTCCTAATAGCAACTCTTTTCTTAATCTTTGATCATTTTTGCTTCATGGACACCTAATTATCGATTAGTACCTATAAGATACTAAATCCAACAATTAAAACAGAAATATAAATTAATCAAAAAAAAAAAAAAATCCACGTAAACGTAAACGTAGAGTGTTATTTCTAAACTCCACTGTATCTTTTGTATCTAGTGTTTTTGTTGTTGTTTGGTTATGCCTATGAAAGTCCTAGTGTTGTAGTTCGTGTTTTTCAGAACGTTGTTGCGAATGCACTTTTGCAAGTGTTTTTTTACATGTACGATTGTGCATGTCCAGTTGAGCGAGTGTGTTTGTGCATGTTTGTTGATTTGTATTAATGTCCTAGGATTGTAGTTTGTGTTTTCGTGATCCTTTTTGCGAATGCACTTTTGCGTGAGTACTTTTGTGCGTGCTCTTGTACTGTTATTTATGTGCGTATCTTTTCTAGCGAGTGTTTTTGTGAACGTTTCTTGATGCGCAATCCTGTCCTCGGACTGTAGCAAATATTTTCATGACCGCTTTTGGAATCAAATTTTGACCATGTTCGAGTCCGAATTTGGAAATTTAACGTTAGACAGGAATTGTAGCCAGCTGAAATAGCTTTCTAATGCCGCCGGAACCAGTTGTTTGGAGTCCGGAGGAGAAAGTTATGCTCGACTTCGTGGACACTACTGAAGATGTTGAGGGATCCTCTCTTCTAATTTGATTTTATTTTTCTAATTGCAACTCTTTTCTTACTCTTTGAGTGTTTTAGCTTCATGGACACATAATTATCGATTTGTACCTATACGATACTCAATCCACCAATTAAAACAGAAACATAAATTCATCACAAAAAAAAAAAATCCACATAAACGTGAACGTAGAGTGTTATTTCTACACTCCATTGTATCTTTTGTATCTAGTGTTTTTGCTGTTGTTGAGTTATGCGTATTAATGTCCTTGTGTTATAGTTTGTGTTTTTCAGAACGTTGTTGCGAATGCACTTTTGCGCATGTTTCTTTACGTGTACGGTTGTGCAGGTCCAGTTGAGCAACTGTGTTTGTGCATATTTGTTGATTTGTATTAATGTACTAGGATTATAGTTTGTGTTTTCATGATTCTTTTTGCGAATGCACTTTTGCGTGAGTACTTTTGTGCAAGCTGTTATACTGTTACTTATGTGCGTATCTTTTCTAGCGAGTGTTTTTGTGCACCTTTCTTTATGAGCATTCATGTCCTCGAACT